CCATGGCAGGGCTGGCACTGGATGGGCTTTGAGGTTCATTTCAACTGGGATTCTGTGATCATGGTTAAGAGCTTCATTGGAGTTCCTGGGAGCTCTCAAGGAGTGCTGGCCACGGCTCTGGAGGAATTTAGGAAGAGCAGGAGCCACCACGACCAGGAGCATCCTCTGTGCAGCACTCACAGCCGTGGATCTCCTCGTGGATCTCCTGCTGTGCTGGAGGCTCCAGTGAAGAAAACATAAAATCATTCTGACAATTTTGTCAGGGCAGGTGGCACAGAGGGCCCAGGATCCCTGGAGCTTGTCCCCATTGATGTGGCAGATCCCTCAGGAGGGGCAAGGCAATGCAGGGAGTGCTCCATCGGTGACAGCCCAGAGCTCTCCTGCCACGGGGCTGGAGCTGTCCTGGTACAGGGAGGGGAAAAAAGAGTTCTTCAAATTCATCTGCTTCCAGCTGCTGTTTCAGAGCCAGAAAACCTTCCCAGAGCAGCACATCCCAGAAAGGTTCTCCTTGCATTTCAAGCAAAAAGCTGCAGCACTGAGCTCAGGCACTCACAGGTGCTGCCCACACTGGAGGCTGGAGCACACTCCTCACACAAATTACTCAGGACTGAGCAAATTCCTCCAAGAGCTCCCAGGACTCATTACAGACAGTGAGAGGTTATGGGGTTGCAGAAGAAAGAGAAAGGGATGTTCCAGCAGATGGTTCCCCAGGATGCAGGGTCCCCTCCTGGCCCTTTGCTTGTCTTTTATCATGAAACTGTAAAAGATCATTTTGGGTGAGCACACCCCAAGACCCCGCCCTGCACACTCAGCAGAGGACAGACAAACACCTCCCCGAGGAGCTGCTTGCCTGGAGGGCAGCAGCCCAGCAGGGCATCACCTCCAGGGGGTTTGGAGCCCTGTTCCAGGCAGGAGCAGCTCCCAGGCTTTGCTTTGGCTGGTAAATCCCAGCAGGTTTGAGCAGCCTGTGGCACACAGTGAGTCCAGTCCTGAGTGCTCCAAGCACTGCAGCCTCCAGGGAGGGAGAAACAAATGTCCCAGAATCTTTTGAGCTCCCTGGCAGGAAACTTGCCCTAAATGCTGCTTTTCATGTGTCCAGGAACAGTCCTGACCTGGCCAAATCCTGCTATTTCCAAACACTGCTGGGTCTTATCTGTCCGGGTACCAGGTGCCTTTCCGACCAAATGGAAGATGGATTTCTGGCAGCTCTGCAGGGAGGATGAGGATGGGTGTGGGCACAGCACCTCCCACACTGAGGAGTGGGAAGACAGAGTCACCTCTCCAGGGATGGGAGGATTCCCCCAGGAGCAGCCACAGAAGGAGGAGCCCAAGACCATTCCCTGCCAGGGCTTCAGGAGCTCATCCCAGAGCAGGGGAAGCACAGAGCCAGCTCACAGCTCCAGCTGGATCCCAGGCTGGATCCACAGCCCTGCTGTGCCTGGCACCACAGGGAGCAAAGGGAGCCCCTGACAGAGTGTCAGGATCCTGCGAGGCTGGAGGGATGGAGCAGAGGAAGAGCCAAGGGATTGTCCTGTGCCATCCCTGCTCCCCCACGGACACAAAGCCAACCCTTCTGTGCACAGCCACCCCCTCACACCAGGACAGCCAGGAGGGACACTGAGAGCAGGACAGGCAATTGGGGTCTGTCAGTCCTGCAGGTGCCACCCTTGCAGTTGTGTTTGTGCCTTGTCCTTGTGCTTGTCTCCATCTCTCGAATTCACCCTGTGGCACTTCCCCTTCTTATGGGCTTCCTCCATCCTCATGAGGTCTTGTGATTTAGATTTAACTCCTGTGAAATAGATTTAAGTTCTGTGATTGAGATTTTAGATTTAATATCTTGTGTAAGACACAAGATTTGCCCCTGGGATCCCAGATGTGGATTTCAAAGAGGTTTTATTTCATCTTCACATCTCAGCCACTACAGGTAAACCATTGGCCCATGGGACCCCTCAGCCACAGCTCCTGACTTCTGTGTCTTCCCAGCACTCCTGGGGAGATCTGGATGATGGGACAAGAGGAACGAAGCTTTTATGACTAAGTTTTTATAACTAAGTTTTTATAACTAAGTTTTTATAACTAAGTTTTTATAACTAAGTTTTTGTAACTAAGTTGCAGTGGGGAAATCACAGGTTCACTGGCACAAGAACAAAAATGAAAATGAGGTGATGGCTGGAGAGAAGGTGCTGAGCCCCCATCCCATGGGTGGGAGGGAGCTGGAAGCACAGAGAGCTCTGGGGTCAGGCCCAGTGCACTGCCCCTCCCAGGCACATCTGGCTGCCTCTGGGTCCCATCCAAGGCTGGGAGATGTGAAGCCTCAGGCAGGTGCCTCAGGGGGCAGAGAGGGGCAGGAGAAACAGGAGCTGTGGCAGAAGACAGCACTGGGGCAGGAGTGGGAGTCAGGTCCTCTCATTCAGTGTCTCCAGCAGACACATTTCTCCTGAGCAGCTACCCTGGGGTTCCCTTTACATCCTTAAAATCATTCATGTGTAATTAAATCAACCAACTGATGCCAGCTCAGCATCCAGCCTGAGACTCCAGCCTGGAAGAGCAGCTCTGGGTAAGGACAGTGACCCAGGTGTCCCAAGAAGTGATGGCATCTCTTGGCATCTCTTGGCATCATGTCTTTGAGAAGATCAAATTATGGAAGGACAAGGCCCTGAGAAACCAAAAGTAACCTGGAAATTGGCCCTGCTCTCCCAGCCTGGACTAACCAAGACTACCAATGATTGTTTTATTCCCACCCGGTCTCCAGGTGCTTGAGGCAGAAACAGAAATGCCGTGGGAGAAGGGGTTGGTACCACAGGGGGTTGGAATGTGCTTCAGTGGACAGACAGGAACGGGCTGAACTCCAACCAAGGGACCTGGGAAAAACAACCCAGGAAAAACAACCCCATGCACCTGCAGAGGCTGGGGCCAGGCAGCAAAGGGTGCAGAGCAAGACCTGGGGACCTGACTGTGGAGCAGCCCTGGGACATTGCAGCACAGAGAGGGAGCAGGGCTGCCCGAGGGACAGCAGGGAAGGGAGGGATGAAATCCTTCCCTGCTGCTCAGGGGCCTCACCTCAGCTCTCCACATGGACTCCCAGTACAAGAGAAACAGAATCAAAGGGACAGAGAATCTCCTGAGCTGGGAATCTGGCACGGATCAGGCACACGGGGACGTTGGTGAGACACCACAAAATTGGGATTCCCTGTGAGATCATGGGGCAAGGGCTCCAAAACTGCCTGGAGGGAAGTGCTGGAGGGGTAAATCATAGGGTCACAAAATTCCCTGGGTTGGAAAGGACTCCACAGGGATCATCCAGGCCAACTGCTGGCCCTGCTCAGGACACCCCAACCATCCCACCATGGGCTGGGAACACGCTGAGTCAAAATTCCTTCCTGTTTGCCCACAGTGGTGCCTGCACAGTGAGGTCTCTGCTCTGAGTTCATGATGGTCACTGGCACAGAGGTGCTGCTCACACACTCCTGAGCCCACCTTCTGCAGGGACACCTCAGCCTGGGCCAGGCTGTCCCTGCTCCTGTGCAGTACCAGGTGTGTCAGTGCTTCTTCAGGCCCTGTGTGTTCACCTTCAGTGCCAATTTCTGCCCAATTTCTGACCCACTGTGCCCACAGTTTGGTGCTGGGCCACTGGCAGCTCCTTGGAGCAGTAGAAAGGATCCTCTCAAATCTGCCTTGCAGCTTCCCCAGCTCACAGCTGCTCCTGGAGCCTGGTGTCCATCCAGGTTCAGTCTCTGCCAGGGTCACCTGCACAGGTGTCCAGGCAGCCTGGAACAGTGGCACTGACACATCTGGCCCCAGAGCAGCCCCTGTCCAGGAGTGCTGATCCCTCTGCTGGTGAAGCTGCCACTGGACAGGGCCCTTCCCACCTGGGCCACAGCTGAGAAGGTTTCATGTCAGTTCTGACAGCTGAGAGATCCCAGGGCATTCCCCAGGTCCAGGTGTGAGGGAAGTGGATTTGTAGAGAGTTCTCAGGGCCTGCCAGAAGGCTCACACCGTGTGCATCTGTGTGCAAACCTGGAGATAAGAAATGCTGACTTAGAAATGCCATGGAATAGGACAGATATTGTTGAGAGAGAAATGGAGCTAGAAAAAAGTTTCAAAGGATGACCTTGCAAATAAGACTAGATACTCTGGAGAAACAGAACTATGAAAGATGCATGGTAATAGAACCCATGAGGGGTGATTTTAGATGATTGGCTTTAAGGCATTTTACAGCATGATGTGACAAAAGCTGATAGGCCAAGAAATGTTTATAATGTATTGTAATTAGGAAATAGTTGGCTTCTGATTGTGAATTATAACAGTGTCTCAGGCCTCTCAGTTGCCCCATCTCTGGGTCAGAAAAGAGCAAAACCCAGCAGAGGTGTGGCTGCCCTGGGTGCAGTCCCTGGCAGGTCCTGGCAGATCCTCCAGCCCCCTGGGGAGCTCTCAGGTGCTTTGGGGTACCCGGGATGGCTCCGTGCAGAGCTGAGTCCCTGTGTGCCACTGTGGGGTTCAATCTTTGATGCTCTAGGCAATAATTTGTTGGATTGTCTGTTTTAATGAGCCAAGCAGCTAACAGTTATTATAAAGTTGTACATTGCAGAAGCACATTAGTTTCAAAAGGTAAAAGTTACAGATGCTAAAGTCCATGCTAAGTTTTGGTTTAGAGTCCCAAATAGAAGCAGAAGCTGCTCCCAGAGGTCCCAGCAGGGTCGATGTTGCTGCAGTGACTCTTATTTTTTTTAGGTGATGATGATGGCAGCAAGAGAGCAGGAACAAAAGCAAAAAGCAAAGTAAAGCAAAAGTAAACGGCAAAAAGCTCCAGCTCTCCCCAGTGCATGTTTTTATATAGAAACTTCTCAACAAGCTAAGACACAAACTCAAACCACTACTTTTTAAGCTATTAGAATTGTAGTTTATTAGCACACCAGGTTATGTATAAACTATGTATATGGTCTATCTTGTTCTATCTGAAAAATGTAAGCAATATTCTTATTATAGTTTTATTATATCTAAAATATATAATATCTATAAATATAAAATATCTATATCTGTGCTCCTAGAGCCTCCACAGCAACACTGGTATCTAAGACCATGTTTTTCAACCTTTACTAAATCTCACACTTCTACTCTAGCATCTAAAACTTTTTATCCACTAACAACTCTTAAAGCTTATTCTACTTACTTACTTGCTTGCTTATTCTAAAACTTAAACTTACACTTTATGTGTAAGTTTACTGTGTTTGCTTTATGTGTAAGTGGCTTCAATCTATCCAAAAGTTTTAATTGAATCCCTGCACTCTAATTTTTCCCTGAAAAATTCAGAGATACTCCTGACTTAGAAACATGCCACAAAGGCCGGGGTGTCCCCAGCTGTGAAACCCTGCTCACAGCAGTGACAGCAGCAGTTCTCTCTTGTGAGGTTTTGGGAACCTCCGGGTGCTCTTGGGCACCCACACTGTCAGGCTTCTTCTTCTATGTGCAAAAAGTGAAGCTGCTGTAGTTGCTATAAAGTTATTTATTGTAGAAGCACATCAGTCTCAAAAGCAAAAACAAAGCAAAGCAATGGCAAAATGCAATGACAAAATGCAATGGCAAAATGCAATGACAAAATGCAATGGCATAGAGCCCCCACTCTCCCTGATGCATGTTCTTTTATAGAAACTTTCCAACCAGCTAAGACACAAACCCAGACCACTATTCCTTAACCTATTAGAATTCTGGTTTCTTAGCCAGGCTACGTATAGACTACATTCATGGCCTATCTTGTTCTAACTGAAAAATGTCAGCAATATTCTTAACTCTAACTATTATGTCTGAAGACAGGTTCTTGGAGCCTCTAAGGAAACACTAGCATGTTTTTCAACCTTCACTAGAACATGTACTACTTCTCAGGCATCTAAGACCTTTTACTCACTAAAAGCACTTAAAACTTATTCCATTTACTTACTTACTTATTCACTCCATCTAAAAGTTTCAACTCAATCCCTGCACTCTGATTGCTCTCTGAAGAAAGCAGAGAGACTCCTGACTTACTGACTCCAACATCCCTCAGGGAATCCCTGGGTTTCCCTGTCCTGCTGAACTCCTGGCTCATCTGGGGATGGTGTGGGCAGGGCTGGGGTTATAGTGGCACCAGGAGGGGCATGGCCAGGCATGGGGGTGTTCCCCAGCCCTGACGCTGTCCCCTGTCCCTGTCCCTGCAGGTCCCTCGCCCTGGGCCAGCAGTACAGCTCGCTGGGCTCCCAGCCCATCCTGTGTGGCTCCATCCCCGGCCTGGTCCCCAAGCAGCTCCGCTTCTGCCGCAACTACATCGAGATCATGCCCAGCGTGGCCGAGGGGGTCAAGCTGGGCATCCAGGAGTGCCAGCACCAGTTCCGGGGCCGCCGCTGGAACTGCACCACCATCGATGACAGCCTGGCCATCTTCGGGCCCGTCCTGGACAAAGGTAACGCTGGGGCACAGCGGGCACAGCTGCCCTGGGCTCGGGGACACAGCAGCCTTGTCCTGCGGGAACGCCGCAGGGAAAGGCTCTGATGTGCCAGCTTTCAACCCTGAGTTCTACAAGTTCTTTTTTTTTTCCAAGTTTTTGGTGTTTTCCATCACAAGGGGTAATGAGGGAAAGGTCTGTTCCCATCCCTCAAAAGGGCCAGCGAGGACATCAGGCACAGGAGGGGGAAGGTTTAATGTCACTGTGGGGGGGGTGACATACAAACAGACACACTGTATTTCAGAAGGATAATATTCCATTTATTACAACAGCCTGCTGTCTTTTATACACTCTACAAAGTTTATACTTTATTCATTGGTCACAATTAGTCAACATAACGTTCACTGGTTTAAAGCCATCTACACCTCTGGTTTATGTTTTATTTTCTAACAATACTTTTCCCAGCTCAGGTTTTCTTTCCACTTATCTCCTTCTTCTCTGCTTGGTCCAAAGGCCAACAGCCTTGCTCAGAGAATACTTCTCAAAACAAACCTCATTCATTAACCCTCTCTAACCCCCAGACCAGCTGTGGCTTCTACCACAGTTTAGCCTCAAGCACTCTCCCATGTTCTGGAATCACGGCTCCACCTCCCTGTCCAGGGCATGCAACACTTCCAAACTGGGTCCAGCAGTGGGAAAAGCCAAGGAGAGGAGATGTGGTTGAGCTCTTTGGGATCGAGGCAGAGCCACTGAAGCACAAACTGTTCCCCAGGAGCTCCCTGGGCTCAGGTTTCCCCACCAGTGAGGAACCATGGTTGAAATCCACGGTCCTGATCAGGCTTAGTTCAATGAATCTTTTTTTTTCGATGAATCTTTTCACAAATGAGCCCAAAAAGCAGGGAACAAGGAGAGGTTATGAATTCATTTCCCCTCTCCTCTCTCCAAACTCCCCTTCATCCCCTGCTCCTGAAATGTAAAACTTTTCTAGACCCACTGGCACGGATCAGCCCCACTGGAGCATTGATGAGGCACCACAAAGTTGGGATTCCCAGTGAGATCATGGGGAATTACAGTGGGAAAAGTGAGAAAGGGCCCCAAAACTGCCTGGATGGAGGTGCTGGAGGGGAATAGCATAGAATCAAAAAATTCCCTGAGTTTGAAGGGATGCACAAGGATCATCCAGTGCAGCTCCTGTCACCCCAACAATCCCACCCTGTCCATCCCTGGCAGTGCTGCCCAAACACTCCTGGAGCTCTGGCAGCCTCGGGGCTGGGACCAATCCCTGGGGAGCCTGGGCAGTGCCCAAACCCTCTGGGTGAGGGAAGAACCTTGCCCTGAGCTCCAGCCTGACCCTCCCAGCACAGCTCCATGATAACCTGACCCACATCTCTGATGTCCCAGACCCCACATTAAAAGGCATTCCCATGAAACTGGGACAAGTGGTGGATTAAAAACTCCCAGTGAATAAAAATCTCTGGTTTCTCCATCCTGTCCTGTGGGATTATGTTCACTCTGTGCCCCACTCAGTACAAGGGACATCCACAGGTAATAATTTCACAGCTTCATAAACACAACCAAACCCCTCCCTCGTCTTCCTGGGTGTTGACACCACTGGGTCCCTGCAGCCCAAAATCTCTTTATTGAACAGAAATTATTGTTTCCAGTGATGCTTTGGAAATGGGAATTTCATGGTACAGACTTCAAGAAAATGGAGAAATTGGGGTGAGAGCAGGATTTTGGACTATTCCCCAACAGTCCCCTGGAGAATGCAGGACTTCTGGTGACTCTTTATTACACAGCCCCAGTATTCTGTAAAGAAACAGTTCATGATGTCTTTTTTTCCAAGTTTTAGCTCCCAGTAAGGGTAGGTATCATTTCAGATCCCTGAAATGTCAGTCGAGTATTTCAGTGAAAATCATTCCTTTGTGTTAATGTGGGATTCTTTGCAGGAACCAGGATTGTAAAGTCTTATTAGAACACTAATAGGCACCATGACATTCATTTCCCCTCTGTTGTGCCAGGGTATATTTTGGGGTAACTGCTGTATTTACTACTAAATAACTTGTCAGCAGTGCTCAACACACTCCAATTTGCTGCCTAATAAAAGCCTTTCCTAAATTTCAGCACTTAAAATATCAGAAAGTTTTAATTTTCTTTAAAAAAAAGGTCATTAAAAAACTGTCATAAAAATTCTAAACACGCTATGAAAGAACTGTTCAAGCATTGAGACACTGAAAATCTCTCAGCACCATTTCTGTCAGCGGGAAAGCACTTCAAGATTAGATTTGAACCATCCTCCCTGTAATGAGCAAACTGAACTTTGAATTTATGGAGAATATTTTAAGATTCTTTCGGCTGCAGGGACTCAAGCAAAGCCTCATGTGTGGACTTGCCTCAGCATCTCCACGCACCCCGAGCTGACAAGGTAAAATATCACCCAGAGCTCTGAAACTCTTCTGACAGATGGAGAGAAATGAGTGAGCACGTTGGAAATTCAGCTTTCCCAATCCCACCATGACACATCTCCAGACAGCAGTGCCAGGCTCCCAGAGTGTATTTATCCTGTGTCTCACTAACCTGAAAGTGGAGCAGTTAAAAATAAACAGCATCGTCTGCAAAGAAGGACACATCAAAGCCCAGCCCATCTGATCATGGGTATTATTCACATTTTTGAACTGTGCTCGTGTCTTTTCCCTGCTGCTTTCAAAATTAATGAGTGGATTGAGGATGGGACTGGTGTCATTGTGTGGCAGTGAGTAACACAGGGAACCTTTGAGATTCCCAGAGTCTGCAGCAGAGAAGTCACAGAGAAAACCAGAACCTTTCCAGGCATGGCTGAGGGAAGAGAGAAGGCTGGGACAGAGCTGAGAGATCCTGTCAGCTGGGAGGACGGTGGGACCAGCCCTGCTGTCACTGGCAAGGGCTGCTGGACACTCCTGGGCCTTCAGAGAATCATGGAACAGTCTGGGCTGGAAGGGACCTTTTAAAGATCATCTTGTCCAACTCAGCATCTTCCTCACATGCAGCAACAACAGTCCCAGACTGGTCTGGGTTGGACAAAGCTCATCCAGTGCCACCCCTGCCATGGGCAGTGACACCTTCCCCTATCCCAGGTTGCTCCAAGCCCTGTCCAGCCTGGCCTGGGACACTGCCAGGGATCCAGGGGCAGCCACAGCTGCTCTGGGCACCCTGTGCCAGGGCCTCACCATCCTCCCAGGGAACAATTCCTGCCCAATATCCCACCTAACCCTGCCCTGGGCAGTGGAAGCCATTTCCTGTGTCCTGTCCCTCCATCCCTTATTCCAAGTCCCTCTCCAGCTGTCTTGGAGCCCTTTGGGTGGTCCTCAAACCAAGAGTTTTGAGCCCATAATCTGGATCCTGTGGCCACATAGCAGCCCTTGCCATGTTCCCTTTTTCCTGACTTCCAGCACACCCAGGGGTGCAGCCCCACAGACCAAAACCAAAACCGAAACCCAGACCAAGACAATCCCTGTCACAGCTCACACGCTGCATTTGGCCAACAAAGGGCCAGAGTTTCACCTCTGACAAACACCTGGATGAAATCCCCTCTCAGTATTAACTGGGTAATCTCAGCTGCTGCTCCCTCAGGTAGATTGAGGCTATTTTGGAAAAGCTTCAAAGGTGCAGTTCTCACTACAACAGCATCGAAAATCATTTCTAATAGAGCCTGCAAAGAAACTGAGGATAATTTCATTTTAAAGGAGCTGCAAACATGTTAACCGTGGTCCCTTCCATTGAAGGAGAGCTCAGTCTACAGAGCAGCACAGTGTGGGAGGGCTCAGCTGAGCAGACCCTGCCGTGCCTGAGCCTCCCTGGGCTGCTCCTTCTGGGCACATCCTCCATCCTTTGAGCTCTGGTGCCAGTGTGGGAGCACAGGGCTGCCCTCCCTGAAATACCCAAGGCATTCCTGTCTCCAGGTCTTCCCACAGCCTCCCCTTTCATCTCCACATCACTTCCCTCCCCAGTGTCACCCACAGCTCCAGCGTCTCCTCCTGCAGCCCCTGGCAGGGCAAAGAGCACCAAAGGAAACTCAGGGAAACCCCAGGGCACTGAGTCCCCTTGAGATCTGCTGAACAACAGCCCTGGGGAGGCTCTGTCCTCACCCACCCGTGTTTCTCCACATTTCCCACCCCAGATTCAGACTCCCAAGATTTTGGCTGCTGTAGCTGCCCAGGCTTTGGTTTCCTAAGGCCACTGATGATCTTCCTGCAAGGAAGGACAGGCTGGGAGAGCTGGGGGTGTTCACCTGGAGGGGACAAAGCTTCAGGGAGCCTTAGAGCCCCTTCCAGTGCCTAAAAGGGCTCCAGGAGAGGGACTTGGAACAAGAATCTATCAGTGAAAGGACAAGGGGGATTGTCTTCCCACTGCCAGAGGGCAGGGATGGATGGGATATTGGGAAGGAATTGTTCCCTGAGAGGGTGGGCAGGGCTGGCACAGGGTGCCCAGAGCAGCAGTGGCTGCCCCTGGATCCCTGGCAGTGTCCCAGGCCAGGCTGGACAGGGCTTGGAGCAACCTGGGACAGTGGAAGGTGTCCCTGCCCATGGCAGGGGTGGCAAATGTTCTGTAGTTCCATGATTCTATATTTTCTTTTTCCATGTCTTATTTCCTAAACCAGGCCATGAAAAAAAAAAAACCAAAAAAAAAACCAAAAACCCAACCCCTGAATGTGGGGTAAGATCATGTTTTTACAAGCAGATTCCCCAAGATGATTTATACTGCAGGTGTGCAGTCTGGGATAGGGAGGGAAGAAAAACCTGCTTTCCCCCTCCCTCCTTTCCCTTTTCTTTGTAAAATAAGGTCAGGTCTTATCTAAAGCCAATGGCTCTTCCAGCCAAGCCCTGCCCAAAGCTAGCTCAGGGGGGAAGCAATTGCCCTTCTCTGGGCTACAGATGAAATCCATGATTTTGGTTCAAGTTGGCACTCAGACAGAGCTGGGTGAGAGTGCCCGAGGCAGGAAAACCCCACAGGAATCTGGAGAGCGATTCCTGGCCTGGGGAAGAGGTCTTGGAGCCGCAGCCAGGGCTGGATCTGCCGGAGCCTTTGCCAGCTCACACCTTCCCCCAGTCCTCGTGCTCCTGTCCCCTCAGCCCGGGCTGTCCTTGCTCGTGTCCTGCTCCAGGGGGACGCCCCCGGTTGATTCTCCGGGAAGGCTCCGAGCATCCCCGCGGTGGTGCCGGGGCAGGTGCAGGGCAGCAGCTGGGCCCGGCTGCCTGCGGTGCCCGTGAGCTCGGCTAAGCCCCTGACACGAGCTGTGAAAAGGCAGAGCCGCACCACGATAACCCACGGCTTTTCTCAGCCATGACACTCGCAGTCATTTGCATCTAAACAGGGGTGTGTGGGATCAGGGGCCGGCTTGATATAAACTCAGCAGCTTAAAGGGAGGGGGAGGGAAAGGAGAGAGGGAGAGAGAAAAATAAGCTTATACCGATGAGAAAGAGCTAAGCTTCCTCCCCTACTGTGAGGCAGGGCGAGCGATACCATCGCAGCGCCGCAGTCGTTTCAAATCGCTGCCGCATTCACACGCCCTTTAGCCATTCTGGGGGGCTGGGGAGCGCCATCAATAGGGATTTCCCAGCCGGGCTGGCGGGATTGGAGGGTGACGGCAGGACAGGGGAACATTGCCCCGTTGCTACGAGGTGCTCCTGGGGAATGCCAGTGCTCTGTGCCGTGGGTACGCTGGCCGGCGGAAACATTCCGCATTATGCTGGTAATACAGTGTGACACCGCGGGAACAATGGCAAATTGAGTGTCCCAGCAGGTAACGGGCCCGGCTGGGACACAGTCGCAGTGGTGCACTGTCAAGGCGGCTCTAATCCTCCCTCGCCAGCCCCTCCCCTGGTTCTGGGAACGCTGCTCCCGCATTTCATCTCTGGGAAATTCTCCCAGCTCCTCGCCCAGACCCAGGCGAGAATTTCAAGGCGAGGGGTTTGCTCGCAGCTCTTCGCTCCCCCCCGCGCCAGCACCGTGCGGGGACACGAGGGACACGGGGGGCACGGGGGGCACGAGGGACACAGAGGACACGGGGGACATGGAGGGCACAGGGAAATGGAGGGCATGGGGGGCATGGGGGACACGGAGGGCACGGGGCAGTTGCAGGAGCCGTGTCCATCGTGTCCAGCCGTGTCCATCGTGTCCCTGCCCGGCGGGCACTGGCAGCCCCGGCTCGGTCCCAGCCCAGCCCAGCCCCGGTTCGGTGCCAGCCCAGCCCAGCCCAGCCCCGCAGTGTCCCTGCTCCCCGGGCCATCCACAGCTGCCAGGGAAAGCGGAGCCACATCGGACCCGAGAGCCACTCGTGTCCTCCCGCTGTCCCCGGGCTGTCCTGGGCTGGGGCCAGGAGGGCTCGCTGGCTCCTCTGATCTGATCTGCTTTGGATCACGGGCCACCCAAAGAGCCTTTGTCAGGCTGAAACCCCTCATTTGGAGCAGGGACCTTCAGCCGGTGCCCACAGCCCCCAGTGGTCCCAGTATAAGCAGCTGGTGAAAGACGCCCGAGGAAAACCCTGCCAGGTAGAGGCTGAATCCTTGCCGGCACATCCCAGATGGGAAGGGCAAGGAGGGAAGAGTTTGAACCAAAAGGAGATGAAAACCTCAGCAGGGTGCTGCTGGCACAGCCAGGACTGGCAGCCCTGGTTGGAGATTCTATTTGGGAGTTCCCCGGGCAGGGCTGCACATTCCCACAGCTGGCACCCACCCACAGCCACCTCCCCTGAGAGCCTGCTCGGGCTGGCATCAGCTCAGCTTGGGAAACCTGGCTTTTGGGAGCCAGACCCACCTCTGCAGAGAGACTGAGGCTGGGGACAGGGACCTGCTGTCCCCAGGCATGAGGCAGGAGCAGGGCAGGGATGCAGGGGACAGCTGAGAGGATGGTTCATGGCTCCTGCTCTGGAAGGAGGGCACTGGCTCCAAGGTGATTTTCTCAGCAGAAATTTCTGCTGAGGACTGTCTCGATGATCTGATCACAGCAGACCCACGAGGCAGTGGGAACCCTCCAGCCCAGGCACCACAGCCCCTGAGCTCAGGCCTCCAGCCCCTCCCAGTCTCCTGCACATCAGCACGAGGTTGGATCGACCCCAATATCTGCTCTGGATTTAGACACCTAAAGTCCCCATCCTTAGAGATGGGCTGAAGCACCCCAGTGTCACTGCCCAGGGAGCTGCACTTGTGCAGAGCTATGAGCCTAAAGGTGTCCCCAGGGAGAAAGTTGGTTCTGAGACTGTGCTTGGGACAGCCCGAGCCAGTGCAGCCACTGAGGCCAAGAGTCAAACCCCTGCTGTCCCACAGTGTGTCCTGCATTATCCAAAACCTTTCCCCAGGTCAGTGAGATTCTCCATCTCTAACCCCTGGCATGGAGGCCCTCTCTGGGTTCCCAGATCAAGAATTTCTCCAGTAACTCTCTCCTGAGGCCCCTCAAGCTGCTACTGATGCCTTGTTCACCCCTGAGCACCCATGCTGGATCAAATCCTGGATCTTGTATTTGGGAAATCCTGCACGTGTGACCCCCAGAGTTGAAGTCACACCCGTCCCACCTCCTCGTGCCCCAATGCTGGCAGCTCCCACTGCAGGGAACCTTCATTAACGATTTAACAAAATAACTTCTTGCTTTTCCATGAGGTTTAGGTGCTGCTGGGGGAGGTTGGGAAGGAAAACACCCGCGTTGCACTGGGCAATGACCCCCCCGGGCTCTGTGTCTCCGCAGCCACACGAGAATCCGCCTTTGTCCACGCCATCGCCTCGGCCGGGGTGGCCTTCGCCGTCACCCGCTCCTGCGCCGAGGGCACCTCCACCATCTGTGGCTGCGACTCCCACCACAAGGGACCCCCGGGGGACGGCTGGAAATGGGGGGGGTGCAGCGAGGACGCCGATTTCGGGGTGCTGGTGTCCCGGGAATTCGCAGACGCGCGGGAGAACCGGCCGGACGCGCGCTCCGCCATGAACAGGCACAACAACGAGGCCGGCCGGACGGTGAGTGCCCAGCCTGAGTGCCCAGCCCTGCATCCTCCTCATCGACTGGGAGCACAGGCACTGACTTTCTGGGATTATTTCCCTCCGAATAGACAGGTGGGGTTAAGAGGTAAAATATTCCTTGATTCCAATGCAAACAGAATTCCAGAATGGTTTGGGTTGATGGGACTTTAAAGCCCATCTTGTTCCACAGCTCTGCCATGGGCAGGGACACCTTCCACTGTCCCAGGTTGCTGCAAGCCCTGTCCAACCTGGCCTTGGACACTGCCAGGAGTGGGGCAGACACAGCTCCCCTGGGTATCCTGAGCACCTTCCAAGGCCATGCACAGAAACCTAACCCCAGGTCAGCACTGGATGGAGAGGATTTTCCTCCCAGTGCCTCCTTCCTGCATGTTCCCTGTTATAACATTATCCCACCCAATGATTCCTTGAAGTAGATGATAGTCACAGTCTCATCCTGGAATATTCCATTCCATTCCATTCCATTCCATTCCATTCCATTCCATTCCATTCCATTCCATTCCATTCCATTCCATTCCATTAGTCAGTAGGTACCTGGGCCTCTGTCTGCCCTGGGTCATTTGCAAACCCAGTGGGACCTTTCCAACAGTGCTTGAAGCTAACACTGATATGGGTTTTGCACACCACAGCAGGTAGAGGCAGAAGGAGAGGAGCCTGACAGCTTCCAGTACAAAAATTCCCCAGCAAACTCCAGTAATTTTATTCAAAATCAGTGATTATTTTGCTCTGCACAAAGGAGGTTTTGGTGAAGAGTCCTGTCTGCAGACTCCCAGTTTCACACATTTTTTTGTAGAAACTGTTGGACTTGGGACATAAGTGAAGGGTTATTACGAAGGAGAGGACAAGGATCAGTCTCCATCCATAGGGCTCAGAAACATCTCCAGCCCTCAGCCTCTCTGGGCTCTGACTGCCCACACACATAGGACAGGAAGGACACCCACAAAAGGATCAAACATTTGAATTAGGTTAGACTGGATTGGTTTGGTTTGGTTTGGATTGGATTGGATTGGATTGCCCACCTCAGCCATGCTTTTGTAGTGTGACATCTCTGGAGATCTTTAAAGCTCCCCAGCATCTCCAACCAGCCCATGCTTACAAAATCATAGAACCAGAGAATATCCTGGGCTGGAAGGGACCCACAGGATCATGGATTCCAGCCCTGGCCCTGCCCAGACACCCCAACAATCCCACCCTGTCCATCCCTGGCAGTGCTGTCCAAACACTCCTGGAGCTCTGGCAGCCTCGGGGCTGGGACCATTCCCTGGGGAGCCTGGGCAGTGCCCAAACCCTCTGGGGGAAGAACCTTGCCCTGATCCCCAACCCAATCCTCCCCTGGCACAGCTCCAGCCATTCCCTCAGGTCCTGTCACTGGTCACAAGAGTGAAGAGATCGATTCCAGCCACTGCTCCTCATGAGGATGCTGAAGACCTCAGTGAGGTCCAGCCTCAGTCTCCTCCAGCTGAACAAACCAGGCGCCCTCATAAGGCCCCTCCTTCCCCAGCTTTGTGGTCTCCTTTGGATGCTCTCTAGTGCCTTAATTCCTTTTTTATGTTGTGGTGCCCAAAACTGCTCCCAAAACTCAAGGTGAGGCTTCCCAGAGCAAGCTTAGATCAGACATTTAAACCCAGGTGGCTCAGGTGGGTGACGGGAAGCAAACCCTGCGTTCCAGCCACTGCTGACTCTGTTTTCCCCGCACAGACCATCCTGGATCACATGCACCTCAAGTGCAAATGCCACGGGCTCTCGGGGAGCTGCGAGGTCAAGACCTGCTGGTGGGCACAGCCCGATTTCCGGGCCATCGGGGACTACCTGAAGGATAAATACGACAGCGCCTCGGAGATGGTGGTGGAGAAGCACCGCGAGTCCCGGGGCTGGGTGGAAACTCTCAGGGCCAAGTACGCGCTTTTCAAGCCGCCGACAGAGCGGGACCTGGTCTACTACGAGAACTCCCCCAATTTCTGTGAGCCCAACCCGGAGACGGGCTCCTTTGGGACCAGGGACAGAACGTGCAACGTCACCTCCCACGGCATCGACGGCTGCGACCTCCTGTGCTGCGGGCGGGGCCACAACACCCGGACTGAGAAGCGCAAGGAGAAATGTCACTGCATCTTCCACTGGTGCTGCTACGTGAGCTGCCAGGAGTGCACGCGGGTCTATGATGTCCACACCTGCAAGTAAGCACAGCGGGGTCTCCAGTGGTGGAGGTTGCTGCAGAGCAGGGCCGAGGGGTCCAGCAGCCCCGTGGGCAGCCCCACACTGCAGAGGATGGCACAAAACTCCTGATGGCACCGGCCAGGGCACGGCCAGGGCACGGAGAAGGCTCTGGGCACCTCACCCAAGCGAGGTGTGACTGCATCCCTTGGCAGGGCAGGATGCCTGGAGAGGGCAGGGACAGGACAGGGAGGGCAGGGACGGGACAGGGAGGGCAAGGACAGGACAGGGAGGGCAAGGACAGGACAGGGAGGGCAGGACAGGATGCCTGGGGAGAGCAGGGACAGCTGAATCCCAGCCAGGCACAGCCACACGAGGCAGAGCTGCTGCCACAGCAGCTCCCGAGCTCCCAGCTCTGTCCTGCACCACAGGTCCAGCCCCTGCAGACACCAACATGGAGGCTCAGGTGGAAATGAATTTTTCACAGTAAAAGCTCCCCCAGCTGCTGTGCCCTGTGCCCCCACACCAGCCCAGCTCCCTCCTTGCTGCTCCGAGGTGATGCTGGAGAACCAAACCTGTCTGGGACATGAACAGAGCCCAGGGGTGGTCTCTCCTTCCCCCTCCCCTCTGCCTTCTCTGCTCCCCACAGCCCCACATCTCCCAAGGAGGCCGTGAAGAAGGCAGAGCCCAGAGCTGAGCCTCTGGAACCTGGCCCAGGACAAGAGCAGGGCACAGGGCACTGCTGCCACCTGGTACAGGTGACACATCATCCCGGCCACTGCTGCCACCTGGTACAGGGGACAGCATCATCCCAGCCGCCTCCTCACCGTGCAGCTGCCCAGGAGAGGGTTGTAAGGATCAGGGCAGCACCGACTGACTAAGCATTCATTCCCTAACATGACCTTCCATCCCAGGATCTCTCTGGGGATGGGTTATCTGCCAGATGAGCTGCTGCACCAGCTCTGACCATGAGAGATTGCAGGGAGAGAAGACATTTCTGTCCCAGCCTCCTTGTCAGCCTTCCCACCAGACGCTTGTGGTCCCACAGCACAATGCCAGGCAGAGCCCTCCCCTGCCATGGCATTTACTGAGCTGCCAGCTCCCATCCAGGAACCCCCCCAAGCATGGAGGCTCTGTGCCAGGAGCAGGGATCTGGGCCCCCCTCCCACATCCCAGTGCAGCAGAACCAGTGTTTGTCCCCACCCCAGGCCAGCCCCCATCCCTGAGCACATCCCCTCTCCCTGGGTTTACCTTCTCCAGGAGTGCTGACCCGTGAAATTAAAAAATAATCACTCCCTGTGTCCTGGTGGGCTCCAGGACCAACAGCCACGTTCAAACACACCCCAGTCAGTGAATTCCAGGGAATTGTGGCCACTCAGGCTGTGGCTGCTGCTCCCCTCTCCTTTCCCTGGGACTGAGCAGCCTCTGGAGCTGCACAGAGCAATAACGGGGTGAGAGCCCTGGCAGGGAGCACAGGAGGGCCCTCAGGCAGAGCTGAACCCCAGGTCCCTCCCATGCAGTGTCAGGACGAGCTCCAGACCCTCCAGAGGAGCCTTTGCTCCCGAAAATTAAAATCTCAGAGAGCTCCAAAAGCCTCCCCCAGCTGGAGCCACGCCGTGCTCTGATCTGCATCTATTTAAAGTATATATTAAATCCCATGTCTGGAAAGACTCCCAGTACCCAACTTTAAACAAAATCCCTTCTTTGTTTGTTTGTTTTTTAATCAAGAAAAGGTATTTAATATTAAATAGAACATTTATTGCCTTGTAATTATTTTACTGTAGCCAGGTATTCTAGCACTGAATGGAAGATCTTTTTCCATCAATCTGCTGTATCCAAAGTTTTGTATAAAGTTGTAGAGGTCGATTTTTTTTTATTTTATATTCAGAAAATTTCTCTTTTTATAAGCATTATTTATTATACAATGTATATACTTGAGTTAACTAAGATTATATATTATATAAATATATATATTTGGAGAAAAATATATTTCAACTTCCATTTTTTTGTGGTACATCATTAAAGAAAAGGTAAAAATTCAAAAATGTTCACTTGCCAGCTTGTGTGGTTTGGCCCTGAGGGTCCTGCTGAACAGCTACAGAGCACTGGGTCATGGCCCAGCTGCTTATGGACAGGGACAGCCAAGGAATCCTGGAATCCCAGAATGGTTTGGGTTGGAAGGGACCTTAAGGGTCACATAGTTCCAATTCCCTGGCATGGGCAGGGGTATCTGTTATAGGAATCAAGACAATGATGACAAAAAGAAGAGATTTTACAGCTGAAAGCTGAGATTTTGATTTAGGGAGTGCCAGGCCACAGTGTGCACAACTGAGACTCAGCACAGAATTATGGAACCCTTGGGGTTGAGCTTTAATATCATTGAGTCCAACCATTCCCAGCACTCCAAGGCCACCACTGAGCTCTGTCCCCAAGTGCCACACTCACACTTTTAAATCCCTCCAGGGATGGGGGCTCCACCCCTGCCCTGGGCAGCTGTGCCAGGGCTGGACAATTTTCCATGAAGAATTTTCCCCAATATCCAATCTAAACCTCCCCTGGCCCAGCCTGAGGCCGTTCCCTCTCCTCCTGTCCCTGTTCCCTGGAGCAGAGCCCGACCCCCCTCCCTGCCCCTCCTGTCAGAGCCAGAAGATTAAATTAAACAGGCTTCAGACTTTGTCCACACCCCACATGAACTCACAGGCTGCCTCTGAATCACCTTCCAATGCTTTGGACAGACCAAGGTCCAAATTTTCTCATATAAAAACTTCTTCTCCTGTCCATGAATAATTCTGTGGATGTTTCTGCAGATGCCCCTCACATTAGCAATGCTTTTAAGTGCACACGATTTTCCACTGCACTGGCCTCAAATGTACCTGTCTGAAGGGCAAAATAAATATAGAATCACTCTGTATTCTTGCCCTGATCCCCAAACTCCACACAAAGCCATCCCATGGATCCACATGTGTGTCTCTGCTGGTGCCACCACCACTGACATGTCCTAACCACAGAACCTGGCCCATGGAGGGTTCTGGACTTCACAGCTCTGGGGGTGAAGCTCTCCCTGTCTGCCTACCTGTCCCAAACCTTCCTCCATCCCACACTGTGCCCCCAAAACCCATCCCAGCACCTTCAAATCTGCCTCTGGTCAACACCTCCATTTCAGGGATACATTTCTGGAAAGTTCAAGATGAAACAGGGTCAGGAAGGAGGTGAAGAATTTTGCCCTTGCATTGAAAGCAGTATGGAACATTTATTATACACTTAGAGCCACTCTGCCAGGAGGAGCCAGGGAGAACACACAGTGGTGGGAAGATGCTGCCCTTCCCCTGTGCCACCTGCAGGAAACATCTCAGATGGAGATTTTGGAACAGGGGTTGGAATGGGTCAGGGGTCACCCCCTGCAGCCCACCCTGGCTTTCCAGCTTTTCAGGTGTGGGATATCCCCACCCCACACACACAGACACACCTGGGGCCTCCTCAGCACTGCAGGGCTCACACAGCTCCAGCATGGGCTGGACCAGAGTCCTCTCACTAAATTCTGTAACAGGGGCCAACTATTCAGGCTGGGGTAAATTCAATCCAGGCCCACACTGAGCACCCCTCTGGCAGCAGCAGCCCAGGGGCAGCTCTGCTCCTCACACACACCAGCAGCAGACACAGATGGCACCCAGCTCATCACAAGGAGTTGTGCTTTTTTATTGAATCCATTGAATGTGCAATTAAACCAGATATTTATTCATCAATATAGTTCTGGACACAGACACGATAAGGTTTACATCATTTACTCTGAAATATAAGTTACTGTGTGCTGCTGTCACTCGGACTGGCAGAGGGAAGGGAGGAACAAATAAATCCACAAGATCATACACAAAATGAGAGGGAACCACCACTGGGACTCACAACAGCATCACAACACAACAGCACTGCCAGAGGAGCAGAGTGGAGTGGTGAAACACTCCACTGCTGTGAGCACACTGAGGACACCAGCACCTCCACTGGGCCTGGAAGGACGTGGGGCACCCTCCTTCCCTGGGAACACCTCTGGATACCACTGCTAGCCCTTACTGTGGCTCTGCTCACGTTTAGGAAGCTACACTGACTAAGATCTGCAAAATGGCTTTGATTTCATGCCCCACCACACTGAGGTATGTTCCAGGAACCTTCTGGAAGGAGTGGAGCCCGGGGGGAGCAGCCTCAGCATCTCCCTGAGGCCACAGGACTGCGGGAAGGAGAGTGGAGCAAGGTTTGATACATTCCTTTATTTCAGTGCAAAAACATGGCAATACACATCTCGTGCACCTGCAGAGCTTGGCTTCCCCTCTGTCTCTAAGGAGGAATTTCAACCTTTGGTAACATGGCAGGAAAAAGGGATAAAATGAGGCTGGAGGATACCAAAGCTGCCAACTACAGGAACTCAGGAAGAGCTGGAGGCTGGGACTAGCATCTCTAAAACTGTTGTTGAATTAACAACAGGATTTGATGCCTTAAATACTGGATTTGGAAATCTCCTCTACTCTGATTGACACTTCCCTGCCCTCTTCCAGTCCCCAGTGCCACCAGCAGTGTCCCATCATGCCCCAAACACCTGGATATAAACAGAGGGGGTGCAGCATCCTGGAGCTGCACTGCTGTGGGCAGTGTGTGTGGGGCGTGGGTCTGGCTCAGATTCAGTGAGGGGTGGGGTGACACCACAACAAAGCCTTCACCTGAGCAGGGTAAGACAGAGCAGTGCTTCAACATCCCTCCACCAGACTGGCAGGTTTATTGGAAGCCAGGATCTCTTTCCCACTGCAGGAATGCTGGACACAAGTGAGGGTCAGCCCCAAACCTCTCAGGACATTCCCCCCTGCTCACCCCAAAAGGCAGCCTGGCTGCACAGAGACAGAAGCACAGTGTTCCAGGAGACACTTCCACATGACATCAGAATATCAAAGACAAAGAATAAAGATACTCTATTGCACTACACATGCAGGTTCCACATGGGGCTCTGGGGATCAGGGGAGCATTTCACTTTGTCCAGTGTGTTG